TCTTAGAAATTAATTTTACTTACTTGAAAATAGAAGGATACAGATAAAAACAAAGATTGCTCATCCAGTGGTTCACTCCCCAAATGCCCACAGTTAGAGCTGGGCTAGGCTGAAGCCTGGGGCCTGGAATCTTATCCAGGTCTCCCATGTGGCTGGCAGGAACCAAATACCTGAACTGTCACAGCTGCCCCCTTAGGTGTGAATTTGCAGGAAGCATGAAGGAAGAGCAGAGCCAGGCCTCAATCCCAGGCACTCTACAATGGGAAGCAGGCATGCCAAGTGGCCAATCAATCATCCTGTAAGATGCCTGCTTACTGCCCTGTACCCCCATCAGAACCTCGGACATGTATGATTCATTTGGTTATCTGAAAAGTAAAGAACAAGACCCACAGAAGGATCTTCCAGCCACTGGTTCTCTCTCCAAATGGCTGGCGAGAGCCAGGGCTGGGCCAGGCCAAAGTCAGCAGCCAAGAACTCCAGGTCTCCCCACATGAGTACCAGAACCCCAAGTGCTAGGACCATCACCTGCTGCCTCCCAGGGTACAGTAGCAGGAAGCTGGGCACAAGAGGTGGTGGAACTCAAGCCCAGGCACTCCAGTATGAAATGGGGCAGCAGCTTTACTCATTACACCGTGCCACCCCAACTTTGGTAATTCCAAGTGGAGACACAGCCGACTCTACTTCTGATTGCTTTACCTCTTCACACTGTCTTTTCTTGCTCTTGAGTCATCATGTTAATGGGGCAAGCCAAAGATGTCACTGGGTGACACTGTGGACATTGCTGGTGCTCCTTCTGGGGGGCATGGATACCAGGGGCTTCCCCTCTTGTTCCTTTTTGCCCCTCTCTTAACCTTGGCTTTCCCAAAGGACTCCTCCTCAAAGGAGCCTTCAACCATTATCCACATGACCCGCACTGGAGTCCACCAGATGGGTATCAAGGCAGGGGACAGGCAGGCCCCTGTAGGCCTGCATTCCTGTAGGGCTGTGATCATCACAGGTGCTCCCCCCACAGTGTGGCTCCTGGCTCCTACATTTCTGACCTATCTCTTCCAAGGCCTGACCACTGTTGACTGCTTCTCTTTCTAGGGCATGATATGAAGGCAAGCAGCAGGGAAGGCTAGAATAGCAAGAATGACCAGCTGGACCTGGCACAACAGCTCAGTAGCTAAATCCTCACCTTGCACACACTAGGATCCCATATGGGTGCCAGTTCATGTCCTGACTTCTCTGTTTCCCTTCCAGCTACCTGCTTGTGGTCTGGTAAAGCAGGTGAGGATGGCCCAAAGCCCTGGGACCATGCACCTGCGTGGGAGACCTGGAAGAAGCTCCTGGTTTCGGATCAGCCCAGCTTTGGCTGTTGCTACCACTTGGGGAGTGAACCAGCAGATGGAATATCTTCCTCTGTCTCCTTCTTTCTGTAAATCTGCCTTTTCAATAAAAATAAATCTTTTTTAAAAAAAGTGACCAGCTCCCAACTTGTATAAGCTTTCATCCGGCAGTAGGTCTTTCTGGCTAAGAAGCTTTCTAGCTGTTACTTCACAAAGTTTAATCATCTGATTCCCTTTTCCTGGATTTCACAGTGAGGCTCTCGTGTTGGAACAGAGGCCATGAACACAGGGTCTGCCCTAAGGCTGCAATCCTCCAGCAACTCATTCACATTTCCATGAACAGGTTTAATAGCTCCGGTAACTTTCATTCTTGCTAATCCATGTTGGCACTGTCTCCAAAACTTGGGGATGCTTTGACCCTACAAACTTTAATTCTCCAATGGGCCCAATAGTCATTGATGTGGCCTGTCCACCTTTTGGCTCTTCAGGGGCAAGAGTGCCAGCTCTTGAGTGCTTTACGTGCAGAAGCCGCAACAGGAAGCATTCACTTCCAATGACCATCCCCTTCTCTGCATCCGAATCCCAGGCTCTCCCTGCACTCCCATTTATCAGGCCCAGGCACACTTGCGCAATGTCCTAAGCAAGACCAGGCTGGAGCTAAGAGCTGCCCTCTATCTTCCCCTGTGTATACTGCACTGTAGCCAGATGTAGCACCAGCTATCGCTGCTCACTCACTCCTACACATCTGGAAAGAGCATCTCCTAAATCCTTGTGTACTTCCAGGCTGACATTCCTGGCCTCAAGTCAGGTCTGATTCCTTAAACAAGAGGGGAATATGGCAAATTGCACTTATGCTAGGTTCGATTTGCAAAAAATGGTATCCTAAGAACAAAATTATTTTTCTCAATTTCCTGGTTTATTTTTGTGAGGAATAAGGTAGGCAGGTAATATATTTTTTAAGATCTATTCTTTTTTATTGGAAAGGCAGGTTTACAGAGAAGGTGAGATAGGCAGAAAGATCTTCCATCTGCTGATTCACTCCCCAAGTGGTCACAATGGTCACACATGAGCCTTTCTGAAGCCAGGAGCCAGGAGCTTCTTCTGGGTCTCCCATGCAGATGTAAGGTCCCAAGGCTTTGGGCTGCCTCGACTGCTTTCCTGGACCACAGGCAGGGAGCTGGATGGGAAGCAGAGCAGCCAGGCCACACACTTAAATCCCATATGAGATCCCAGCGCTTGAAGAGGGAAGGTTAATCAATTAAGCCATTGTGCTGGGTCCAGCTATGTAACTTTAAAATCCTGTTACATCTGATCAAATTTTAGGAAAGCAAAAGGCCTCCAAGCTTAGTGCTCAAAGTAGGCTATTGCAGTTTTTTTTGTTTCTTTTTAAATTTTAAAAAATGAAGACAAACCAACCTGGGTCAGTCCAGGTTGTATACAGCTACATTTAGGACAAGATGGTACCTCATTACGTAAACTCTCCACGAACACAACAGCTGTCTACAAGCTGAGAACCAAGACAAAAGTGCTTCCACTTAGCTAGCAGACATGGGAAGTGTTACTGAGGCCTGATCCTTTTGCTCACTCAGTCATTGAGTGAAACTGCCTGCAGTCTCACCTCCCTACAGTCTAAACCAAGCATGTACCTGGAAAGGAAAGCACTGTGAGGGTCCAGCATGGTAGCCTAATGGCTAAATCCTCACCTTGCACACATTAGAATCCTAAATGGGCGCTGGTTCACATCTCGGCTACTCCACTTCCCTGCCTATAGCCTGAGAAAGCAGAAAAAGGATGGCCCAGGGCCTTGGGACCCTGCACCGGTGTGAGACCCAGAAAATCTCCTGGTTTCAGACTGGCTCAGCTCTGGCTGTTGTGGCCACTTGGGGAGTGAATCAGAGAATGGTTCACTCTCCTTCTCTCTGTAAATTTGACTTTCCAATAAAAATAAATACATCTTAAAAAACCCACTATCTACTTCCAAAGCTGTGACGGAGCTCAGAGTGGGACAGCTGCAGATGAGCCCTCTCGTGCCTCAGTGCAAACACTGGCCTGCTGTGCTGCAGCAGGCAGCCACTGAGCCTGGATCCACAGCCCAACACACTGTTCTCTCAGCTGCTCCACCTGTGAAAGCCAATGAGCCTGCAATCTCTGTTGGTTGGGTCTGGTCTTTCCCAATCCCGTAGCTACCACAACAACTTTTTGCTGGGTTTCAGTGACACTGTCCCAAGTGATCAATACCCAAAGGGCCCTCAAAGCCTGTGGCGAGCGTTCCGCTGTGGGGGGCATCCTGGGCCTCCCCCTCTGGGATTCTAGTAGCTTCTCCCACCTGTAAAAACCAGACTATATTTAGGCAAAAATGAAATGTCTCCCCGGGGGGGGGGGGCAAGCCATCCCTGGCTGAAAGCCACTGCTTTAGGGAAATCATTCAGTTTAGCAGACTCATCATGCCCTGTTCTGCCAGCCTTGGAGTTTCTTTCTCTAGCTCATGGAAATGCAGTTAGGGAGCTGCTTAGCTTTGTAGCTTTTGCAGTGACTGAAGCTCTCAGTATCCGGGAATTGTGAAATACTGCTTAAGCAATGAAGGGCCTTACCAGAATGCAACTCTTGGCTTCTTCCTATGACTTCCTATTCTCCACCTTTGTGGGGCCAAGACCTCAACCTCTTTCCGCTCAGATGGACTAGTCCGTGTCAGAGAAGAGGCCTATGAAATAGCTGGAGAACACTTCTTTATTTGGGGATCTAACTCCAGGTCACGGTTGGTCCCTAGTTCAGCAGAGGAAGTGCAGATTCATCTGGAGACCCCATCCATGGCTGCAAGCAGCTGGCGACAGCACAGGGCAGGGGCAGGAAGCCATGGACTTTCTCATCTCCTATCACGTCAGGGTAGAACACTTCTCCCCCTAAAGAGGACAATGCGTGCCACTACCCCATGTCAAAGTAAGCACAGCACAAATCTGCTAACTACAGAGAGGATTATTATACTCTTGTGAAGTTTAAACAAGTCACTCGGATGAATTAGGGGAAAAAAGTTCTTCTGAGAAGTAGGAGGTATGGTATGGACTCATCTTAAATGGCCTTTTAAAGAATGACTTGAGATTATAAGCTACTTTTCAAATACACAGAATGCTGCATAACAACTCGCTAAGCTTTAAGGAATGCCTCTTTTTTTTTTAAGTACATCACTTTTTGTTGTCTAAAACACCCCATTCAGAGGGCGGAAGCACATCTGATATTACCTCTGCTGGAAGAGGAGTGGAGTTACAGGACTGAAAGGCATGATCAGTAAATAATTCCTCTCCACAAGAGAGCCAAGCAAAGCCGGGAGGGAGAAGAGTCAGAGGCAACACAATTGGTACATATCTGAAATGCATTTCCATTTTTATTTGAAAACAACCTAAATTTTTAGACAAATGATTTTAGTATATAAATTTTATTTTATTTTTATACAGAATATAAAGATTTCCCTCATTAATCTTCCATGTGAAGGGTCTTACAGGCCTGAAGGAAGAGACTTTTTTTGCACACAAATGTAGATCTCACGTGGTTGGTACTGGAAACATGGTGTAGTGCTCCTACACATAAATTAGGCCGAGTGACATCACACACGTCAAGGGGCAAGGGGAAGAAACATTCTAGTTAATCAGATTCAAGAAGCAAACATGACACAAAAACTGTGCAAATGAGACAAAGTAATTTTAGTTAGGACAGAGTGGATTGTACTAGGAGATTTGTGAGGCTATAGTGTACACCACATCAAACAGCAAGGAAGAGCTATTCGTATAGAAAGGCTGGGGTGAGGGGGTTTTCACTAAAGCAAATTAACTTCTTGTCAACTGCCAAAACAAAACACAACTGAGCATGTGAGTGTTAGTTCACTGAAGGCATGTTACGCCAGCTCCTGTGCAGCATGCTAAGTTAGAACTTCTTCACTGGTGCCTATGAATCACAAATGGTCACGTTTTGCCCCTTCTCACCAAATCTCAGGCATGTCTTATTTTAGATGGAGTATAGCTTTTATCTATGATTTCATCCTGTAAAAACATGTGAAGACAACGTTCATTCTGGGCCAGCGGGTGACCAGCAACCCTGGGAATAAAAAATGCACATTTAAATTGAGTACAACGGCTTAGTAGTAGTGTGCAAACACACACAAGCAGTTTATTACTGACAAGTCTTACCCTGGACTGCCCATAAAGCTACACTCTATCAAATAATGGTATGTCTTCTCCTCTAGTTCACAAGATTAATTCAGAACACAATTAAACATAGATCAATCTTGCACAGTTTCCTGGCATGGTTGCCTGATTAACTTCTTACACATTCACTGACATATAAGGAATTTGAGTAGATTTTATGTTAAAAGTGAAATATGTCAATGGACTAAGAAATTACAGTCTTCTCCTGGCATAACATTGGCTCTTAAAAACAGGTATAGAGAATCCTCAAATCTTCATGGACAAATACACAATACAGTTTTTTTAAAAAAATAAATTTCCAACTTTTTTTGCACCCAATTAATTTAATTTTTCCAAAAATTTTGAAGCCTTTTTGTCTGGCAGTTCATGTAGGAGTAAATTAAAAGCTAGAAAAACTGGTCTAGGTTTATCAAGCGTTTCTACAGAAAAAAGCAAACAGTCCTAAGTTTTACGTTTTCAAAAGAATACATTTTGCATGAAAATTAAAAATGTACACCTTTACGTAAGACATGCTGATAATAAGCTCCATCTGCAATCAAACAAAATGATTGCAAGTGTATTGTTAGCTTTATTGTTCATGCCAGAGCATACCGTAAATCAGAAAGAATCATAGGTAAAACTATATTTTTTAAATGCTGTAATTTTAAATGTAATTTGCATAAATTATCCAAGAAAAACAAATAGAAAACTTAGGCCAACACAAAGCTACTCATTTCAATTACTCAGGTGTGTTAATATTTATCACATGATATTCAACTTGTCAAATACTTTTATATTGCTTGAAAAGAAAGTTAGGAAATGGCCAGAAGCAAAGGTGCGTTCATAGTTGAACTCACCACCGAGTTACTAAAAGAGTCTCCAAGCACCATTCACATACACATTGTGGAACAGAAAGCACTTACTTGTTTATAAACTGCTCCAGCCCTTGCTTCCTTTCTTCAATAAAACTGTCATCAAATATTCCATCATCTCCTCTAAAAGGAAGTTGACGCAAAAATGCTTTCCCAGGGAGTGGGGGGACTACAACCTAAAAAGCGAAGAAAGAACATTCTTGACTCCACCGACTGGGCTGTGGAAGTTTATAAAGCACATCCTGAAGGTCAAGTATACCACCCCCTCCATGAGAGCCATCTTATTCTCACACTTGTTCAAATAGAAGAAAGTTACTTTCAAAAAGAAACAAACATTGAAAAGACTGTCCTGGAAGCAAGATAACCTAATGTGGGCCAACGCTCCTCAAAGGCTTGGGTCTGGCACTCCAGAGAAGTGTATAACAAGCATTCACTCAACTGACGTGAGGTTCGCTGTGCTCCCCTGGAACTGATAACACATGGGAATGAAATGCTGTGTTCCCACTGCAAATGGCTGGATTCGAATTTTGTGCTAAACATCTGCAAGTTTCTTCCTTGTGTCTGAGGTGATGACAAAATACACAACCACATTTGTCACCACCCTTCCAACTTTCTTTCCAATCTCCTACTCTAGATCTTGCCCTAAAGACCTGCCATTTCATCTTTCCACAATCACTACCAGAAAGTCCTAAATCCAGCCCCCACTTAGGTTCAAAACCTAAGAGAACCAACTTGGGTTGATCTTTTCCTCCTGGGAATTATCTGAGGACCAACTCACTTCAGCTAGGAAATAGCTCTTCATCACACAGTTGACTTGGGCTTCTCCAATGTGGCACCCTGCCACTCTGAACCATGTGATTCTGTTATTGGGGGTTGCCCAGTGCACTGCACCACATCCGGTAGCATTCCCGCACGCACCCTCTACCCAACAGCTGCCTGTGTAGCCTGTCCTCATGACAAGAAAAAAAATCTCCAGACATCGCCAAATGTTGCCTGGAGGAAAACTGTCCTATTAACACCTTCAAACCGAAAACTCTGCTTTAGGATTCTAATGGTTCAAAAGAGTTGGACATACTGTAGAAGATCAAAGGTCTTAAACGACCAGTCACTTAGCTGGATCCTCATCCTATATCCAAACAGAAAAGGTTTCGGCAAACAATCAGTATGTGGAAAAATGCAAATAACAAACATATATTCAAAATACTTCTTACTGCAGGTAACACATTCTATCAGAGTGAAAATTTTAATTTTTAGTTGTTCTCTCTAGAAACTTTTCCTAAAACAATGACTTTATAGAACAAAAAAGTGAACTAGCAATTCAACAGCATACAAATACAAATAAGCAAAAATCAAATGATAGCAAAGAAACATGAAACCAGATGCCTAACACATATAATTCCTCCCAGATAGTCAATGATTAAACACGCAAGTTTGCTTTATCATTCATCAATCTCTCCCCATAACAGCACTGTTAAATCACGTGTTGCGATCTGCAAGTTCTATCCTTGGGAAGCAAGGGATTCCAACCACAGAGTACCTGGTAAGCAGGAAAAAAAATCACTTGCTACAAAGCTACGAGCTACAGCCTATGATATGAAAAAGGACTCGAGAACACATATACTAAATAAATGACCACTATTAACCCAGGGAAGAATTTAACATGAAATTGAGCAAAAAGAACATCATATATGTAAAGATACACTCTAACATATATTAAGAGAGTCCTTCAAATGGTCGGTAAGACTGCGTGCAATGGGACTAATCACCCACAATCATGAGCAGCTCGTATGGCTGAGCTCCCAAAAGATCCTCTTCAACATCGCATTCTTTCTGCTTATATAGTCTGAAAAGATCTAATTAGACTTTCTTACACCACTTTAAGCTATGAATCCAAAGATCTGTGTATGCATGCGGGATGAGAAACAGGCAGATGCCAGTGGACCTCACATACTGAAAGTCAGAGCACACTCAAAGGAAAGCTGAGAGACCTAACCAGTACCACCAGGAAAGATACAAAGTCACCTCATTTGATCGTAGTTAAAACTACTAACATGATAACCTGACTATACTATTGTTAGCAATACCATACCACGAGTAAAATTTCCACACAAGGTGAATGTTAAATGTGAAGCATGTGCTTCAAAAGACACCACGAAGAAGGTGAAAAGGAACCCACAGCCAGGGAGATTTCTGCATCCTGTATCTGATAAGGAAACTGTGTTTTTCGTGTGTTCTAGCTATAACACCAAGTAAAGAAACAAACAACAAGATAAGTAGGCAATGGACTTGAATGAACATTAATCCAAAGAAGGCACCTACATGGCCAGTAATGACACCAAAAGATCATTCACATTATTAGCCATCAGGCATGAGGAAAATCACAGCCAACAGTAAATGAGACAGCACTTCCACAGCTGTAATGCAGAGCAGGAGCAGGTGGAGAGAAGTGAGACCTTCATATGGCTGGTGGGAATGGGAACAGGGCAGCTGCTCTGGAACACAGCCTGCAGAAGTGTTATGCCTAAGAGAAATGAAAGCAGGTCCGACAAAAATATGTGCATAAATGTTCACAAGAGTACTAATCACAGTCTCGAAAAAATAATAACCTGAATAGCCACTAAATGATGAATAGACAAATAAATCATGGCATATCCACAACAGGATGTCATTTATCAACACAAAGAAATGAAGTACTGATATATATTACAACCGGCTGACCCTTAGAAACCTGCCAAATGAAATGAGCCACACGCAGAAGAGCACATATTCTATGATCTTCTGGTTATTTTAAGGAAAGCTGGGCATACAACTTAAGCTCAAATATTTGTTAAATGCCATGTACCATTTTTGTCCCTGGGGAAACAGCTTAGCTGTTGCTTATAGCTACAAGAGGAGAAATCAGAAGTGATTAATGAGAATAGGCTTCTTTTAAAATTGACAATGATGTTTGTATAGCTCTAAATACTACTGAACTGTACACTTTAAATGAATGAATATGAATGTGGGTGGGCATTTGGTCTAGCATGATGTCAGAACACATGCATTCCAAATCAGAGCATTTGAGACTGGTTCCTGGTTCTGGCTGATTTCAGCTTCCTGCCAATGAGGACCCTGGCAGGAGCAGAGATGGCTCCAGCGTTGGGGACCTTTTCCTCATGTGGGAGAGACAGATGGATTGCTGGGCTCCTGGTCTCAGCCTGGCCAGACCCGCACTGTTCTGGGTATTTTGGGAGAAGGAACTAGCTCTCTCTTGCTCTGCTGACTCTCTGTAAAGTACATGAAAATGAAACACTAAAATATAAAAAAGGTGAAGAATATATTGAGTACATTTGTAAAACATTCCAGCACGCCATGGCAGGAGCAACACACAGAAAAGCTCCAAGCCTATGATCACAATTCTACTTCCCCTATCAAAAACACTGTATCATCTCTCCCTTTCTACTAGCTGTCACAGACCAAACCCCAAGGCTATAATAGATACAACAGCAAGGAATTACTTGAGGTTGGGCATATAGATTAGCAAAATGTTTTAATTTAGAAACTGACCTTTGTGTTTTAGGGAACTTAGCTAATAACAGAAATATTGTCAGTGGGAAAAATAGTTTCAAAAGTGGCTGAAACATTTGCTTGCCTATTTAGGAATAAAGATTGATCAACCAAATATGCACAACTTACAATTGGCTGGAAGACCTAAATGTGTATGACAGACCAGCTGGGAAAGGAGGGATGATGCAACAGTGCTCCTTTCTTTCTACTACATCTTTTTCTTTTTCTATGATTTACTTATTTTTATTTGAAAGACAGATGTACAAAGAAAAGAGACAAAGATCTTTCGTCTGCTGGTTTACCTCCCCAGGTGGCTGACATGGCCAGAGCTGAGCTGATCCAAAGCTAGGAGCCAGGAGCTTCTTCTGGGTCTCCCACACTGGTGCAGGGTCCCAAGGCTTTGGGCCGTCCTCTACTGCTTTATCCCATCACAAGTAGGGAGCTGGATGGGAAGTGAAGCAGCCAGGACATGAACTGGTGCCCACAGGAGATCTTAGCACTTGAAGGGAGAGGATCAGCCAATCAAACCATTGGACCAGACCCACCTGCTTCATCTTCCTATTTATTCAGCAGAAAGGGACAGACATAGAGACAGAACACTCTTATGTGTTGCTTCACAGCAGCCAGGGCTAGGTCAGGCTGGAGGCGGAGCTGGGACTTCAATCTGGGTCGCTCATGGGGTTAGCAGGGACCCAATTAATTGAGCAATCAAATACTGCCTCCCATGGTGTTCATCTACTCCATTTCAGTCACAAAGTAACTTTTCATCCATGACTCCAAGCCTCTGAAGCCATTCTGGTACAGGGCTGAAACCAGAGACATCAGGGATGGAATTTGCTCCACCTCATTTATTTTGAAGCCAAAGCCACCATCAAATTTCCTTCTAAGAGAAGCCAATTCTTATCAAGGGAATGTGTTCTCCAAGTTACAGACAGCCACCCCGATCAGGGCCACCCCTGAGGAAAATCTAAAGAATCTGTACATCTTACACAACGGTAACTGCTGTTTTACAAAAACTGTTCTTTGTACACATGTGGCGATGAAAAAGTATACTTATGACAAAATTGGAAATACACTGACAGGAGATGTATGGAGGAAGAGAAGTGCCAAGAGGTATGGAGAAGGTGAGGTGGAATAGAAGACAGAAAGGAAGAAGGTGAAGCAAGAAACTTCTGAGAAGTGTTTCTCAAGTGAGCTGGCAAAGGCCGTGGCTGGGCATTCAAGAAGACAGGAGAGTTCCCAGCAAAACTACAATGGCTCTTCTCCAACCTGTGAAATCATATGAGACTGAGCTATTTGAAAACAAGAAATTGTGCCTGTTTTTCTACCTGACTTTATCCAACATAATTTTTCTGAAAGGTCTTCAACATTGAAACCTGAGACATTTTCGTTTAAAACCAACTCACCTTGCTCTCTCTTTCTAATTCACTTCGCAGCCACTCAAAGTCACTGTATCTTCTTCTAACAGTTGATTCCTTCAGCTTGAAAATTGGAAGATTTGTCTGAAACAAAAAAAGTCATTGCTAAGTTGAAATGGTTAAGGAGGTTTCAAAAAAAGGGGTGGGTGGAGGGCAAATCTGTCAGATTAACAGTCTTGTTACCTTAGATAAAAAAAAAAATTAACTTATTAAGACTTTTTAAAAAAACCTATAACAACAACACATTGCTGGTGGCAAGAGAAGAGTAACTTGTTTAAACTAGAATACAATTTCTAAAATACATCTTTATGGGAAAGTGCAGTAGCCTACTGGCTAAATCTTCACCTTGCAACCACCAGGGTCCCATTTGGGCACTAGCTGTGTTCAGGTGGCTCCACTTCCCATCCAGCTCCCTGCGTGTGGCCTGGGAGGTAGAGGATGGCCCAAAGCCTTGGGACCCTGCACACATGTGGGAGACCAGGAAGCGGCTCCTGGCTCCTGGCTTTGGATTGGCTTAGCTCCCAGCCCTGAGGGAGCGAACCAGTAGATGGAAGATCTTTCTGTCTCTCCTTCTCTCTGCAAATCTCCAATAAAAAAATGAATCTTTAAAAAAAAATCTTTATATGTACGTTTTGGTTGTCACTGCCTGAGGTTATTTACATAAAGCCAGCTCTGTTACCTAGCTTAGCCAGTACCTCATATTCAGTGTCCAGAGGGAAATTAGACGCTACCTACTTGTAAATGAAATACAAGACACTGTTATGAGGACTAGATTAAATCTTGCATAATCAAAGAAATGAGTAAGGCTTTTAAAAGTTTTACTTCTTTAAGTACACATTTATGGGGTGCAAAAACCAGAGAAATGAATGAGAACGTAGACACTGCTCGTTACTGGCTGCAGTCACCCGGTTGAGCCTGGGCGACAACCACTTAGCCCGCTCACCCACGGTGACGTCCACCCACCACCAGCCTCTGCCCTCTTTCCTGGCCCATCCCCACCTCTGACTGTAAAACATTCTTCTTAAATTATTATTCCTTCTAAAGAAAGCAAGGAAGCATATTCCTTGATTCAACCTTTGCTTCTAGAACTACAAAATATTTTCAAGTGGAAAAGAGAAAAAATTCCATCCGAAGGGCAGGCAACGTGTTCCACTTTGCACACAGGAACATCTCTGACTTGTAAAATCATTGCTAGGAACATTTTTCTCATGTTAAACCTAATGCTACTGGTAAATACTTGTCATTCAGCAAAAGAAAAGCTCTTTATTCAGGTCCTTAAATCCATTTTGTAGTGGCCTCAATTTTTTTCCCCGAGTATATTAATTCCTCTGTGTTGTATACCTTACAGTCTGGAATCCTCTACAGATGCGATTGGGCATAACAGTGTATAAATTTCAAGCATGAAACTCAATCTCAAAAGAGGTTTAAAAGCACTTGAATTTTCTTTCCCAGGTAACCACAACATTTGTTCATTGTATTAATGACTCAGAGCAAAACTGCACCTAACAAGACTCTCATTATACTAAAAGTCAAGCTTATATTTAGAGGTGCTGGTTTGTTGTACAGAAAGGTACTCTCATTTCCCACAGGGACTAAAATCGCATCCCCCGGAGAGCAGGACGCTAATTCCCAGAAAGAAAGCACAGGATTATTTCTCTCTAATTTCACCCATTGGCTTTTTAACCAAGTTCACCCTTCCGCATTAAAATATGAAGTCTTTGTAAGTGTCTAAAGATAGAAAGGCCTTTACAGAGCTGAGTGTTTTCTGCAGGTGAGATTTTACATTTTGAATTCCCTCCTCTCAAATTACTTCACAAAAGGGATTAACTGCTCTCTTTATTCAGTATGTTAAGATCAAGCCTGTGAAAAGAGTTCCTGAAGAATTTTCATACTTCTGGGTACGGAAGTCTATAAAGTTAATCTCTGAAACAACATATCAAGCTTACAGGTACAATGTTGAGGGAAAAGTGCCAATTCAGCTCATTTTACCTTCCATTTTCCCTTTTGAACTTTTGACACAATCACGGTTATATCTGATTCACTTTAATAGAGGGGGGAGGAGTAAGTGAGGGAAAAGTCCCTTCCCTTCATGATTAGCTAAAAATCTGATATATTACACATTAAAAAAGGATCACGGTTGATTGAAGAAAAATTCTTTTTTTTTCGTGCTTGCACCTCGCTGTGATGAGTGCTGTTTTAGAGTTTTGACAAAGTCACATCAAGAAACTATTATCTGCTTATTACATGAAAAGTGCTAAGTCCACTTTGTTCACCTTTAGGCACATATTACCCAACAATTAAAATGTCCCATGTCCCACACTGCAGTACCTGGGTTCCAGTTACTAGCTAATGCAGACCTGGGGCAAGGAGGGGGTATGTCAAAGAGGTGGGGAACAGCAGCTGACTCAGGTAGATGAGCTCTTGTCACCGCGTGCAAATCAGTAGGATTAAGTTCCCAGTACCTGTCTCAGCAGGTTGCCTGCCGCCATTGTGAACCAGAAGAAAGGGTGTGTCTTTGTCCCTCTGCCTTTCAAATGAGAATTTAAATAAGTTTTTAAAAATTAGGATGGGCGGGCCGGGCACAACAGCGTAAAGGTTAAGGTCCTCGCCTTGAACACACCGGGATCCCATAGGGGCGCTGGTTCTAATCCCAGTAGCTCCACTTCCCATCCAGCTCCCGGCTTTTGGTCTGCGAAAGCAGGCCCAAAGTCTTGGGACCCTGCACCCGCATGGGAGACCAGGAAGAGGTTCCCGGTTCCCGGCTCCGGATTGGAGCAGCACTGGCCATTGTGGTCGCCGGACGGAAGATCTTCCTCTCTGTATATCTGACTTTGTAATAAAAAAAAAAATCTTTAAGTAAAATAAAAATAAAAATTAGGATGGGCGAACAACACTGTGACACGGCAGGGTAGCCACTGACTGCAGTGCCAGCCAGCATCTCTATGGGCACTGGTTCTAGTAACTGGCGGCTCCACTTCCAGTCCAGCTCCCTGCTGATGCACCTGGGGAAGCAGTGGGAGAAGGGCCCTCCATCCTTGGAATCCTGCCACTTATGCAGGAGGAAACCTGGAAGAAGTTCCTGGCTCCTGCCTTTGGCCTAACGCAGCCTCAGCCACTGTAACCATTTGCAGTATGAACCAGGGAATGGAAGATCTCTCTAACTCTGCCTTTCAAATAAATACATCTTCCAAAAAAAATTTCTTATGTAACCACAGAACAAGGACCAAACAAACATAGGACATTCAACATGACAAACATATTCAAAATTTCCTCACTGCTTCAATGGTATTTATGATTTTCATTTATTTTATATTTATTTTTCTAAAAAGATCTATTTATTTTTATTGCAGGGCAGATTCAGAGACAGAAGGCGAAGGAGAGACACAAGAGAGATCCTCCATTTGTCAATTCACTCCCCAAACAGCCACAATGGCCACAGCAGGGCCAGCCTGAAACCAGGGGTCCAGGCTCCCACACAGAGGCAGGGACTCAAGGTCTTGGGCGATCCTCCGCTGCAGCTGAATTGGAATTGGAGCAGCCAGATCTGGAACCAGAACCCATATGTGATCTGATACTGCAATCAAAAACAACTTGCTACACTAGGCACCAGCCCTCTTTATAATTAGAAAAACAAAAACAGAATCCAACGAAGATACAAGCACTAAGGATTTAGTGTTCCAGTGGGTTCCATGTTGCCTGGATGCTCATATCCCATAATGAAGCACCTGGAATTGAGTCCTGTTTCCATTTTCAACTCAGCTTCCTGCTAATGCATATCTTGAAGCTTACATACTCAGATCTCTGCTACCCGTAAGGAGGACCTGGTAGGAGTTCCTGGTTCCTGGCTTCAGCCTGGCACAGCACAGGGCATTTGGAGATTAAACTAGCAAATGGAAGATCAGACTCTCTAACTGCCTTCAAATAGATGCTTTAAAAATAAAAACCAGATATTTAAATAAGTGTGGTAAAGTGGTGAATGAAAATAACCTTTAGGGCCTGGCGCAGTGGCCTAGCAGCTAAAGTCCTCGCCTTGAATGTACCAGGATCCCATATGGGAACCAGTTCTAATCCCGGCAGCTCCACTTCCAATCAAGTTTCCTGCTTGTGGCCTGCGAAAGCAGTCGAGGACGGCTCAAAGCCTTGGGACCCTGCACCCTAGTGGGAAACCTGGAGGAAGTTCCTGGCTCCTGGCTTCAGATCGATGCAGCACCAGCCATTGCAGTCATTTGGGGAATGAATCATCGGACAGAAGAACATTCTCACTGTCTCTCCTCTTCTCTGTATGTCTGACTTTGTAATAAAAAAATAAAATAAATCTTAAAAAAAAAACAATCTTTAGATTCTGGTGTAGGGTATTACTGATAAAAACAACAAACACTGATTTACACTTGCCAATTGGCTTATAATACAATGCATTCTGGAGTATGGTTGCTCATTTATTTTTTATGACTTATTTTTATTTGAAAGTTAAAGTATAAGAGAGAAGGAGAGTTAGGAAGAGAGAGAGAGAGAGAAAGAAAAGGGGAAGGGAAAAGGAAAGGGGAAGGGGAAGGGGAAGGGGAAGGGGAAGGGGAAGGGGAAGAGAAGAGAAGAGAAGAGAAGAGAAGAGAAGAGAAGAGAAGAGAAGAGAAGAGAAGAGAAGAAGCAGAATCGATCTTGCACCCACTGGTTTATTCAACAAATAACCACAAGGTTGGGCCAGTGTAAGAAGCCAGGAGTCAGGAGCTCCTTCCAGAGTCCCCACATGGCTGCAGGGGCCCAGAGACTTCTGCCAACCTCCGCTATTCTCCAGGCCATGAGCAGGGAGTAGGACTGGCAGAGAGGCAGGTGCGACTCAAACGGGCCCGTATGGGATGCGGTGCTATAGGTGGAGACTGCAGAGCGGTATCATAGTGCTGACCCCAAGGCCGTCCATTTTCCATTACATCTACCTTTTAAAGTGGGGGAAATTATCTTTAACATTTTGGTCATTTTACTTTTATTTACTTTAATTACATACACATTTTCCAACTATTAACTACTCTGAGTTTCCTTTTTTCATTCTTTTTAGGGTTTCTTTTTATTTCTTATAAATTATTGGAAAA